AATGAATTACGCCACCTATAACGAAACAAAACCATTTTTATCAGGTTTTGGTTTAATCTTAAACTCTACCTAAACGTGTTCAATTTATGACAAAAATGTCAGTCACCAGAGGTCACTGCATCTGTGCAGTACGAGATTAACTCATGAACATCTATATATTATGTCTCGATAAACAATTTCTCAATTTGGAACAATGTGACATAACTGTGAGAGCATTCTTTCACATTTCAATGGCATTCTGGCAATTTGATGCGCCATCCCGTCATTGACCATACCCGTCGAAAAATGTGCACTTGGGGACTTCAACAAGGTACCCCCAAAGTTGCGTCCGTAAGACTAGTGCTGGCTTACTTATGTATTGTCTGCTTGTGTGCCAGCGTGGTAGATGAACTTCCATCTTTGCTTGGTAGAGAAACGTCAAACCCTGCGTTCTCTATTGCTTTCATAATGTCCCGAGGGCAAGTCGCGTATGGGTTGAACTTGAAAGAACCACGACTGGATTCCAAGGAAACAGATGCATAAAAAACTCCATCAATTGCCATGGCGATAGACTCAATAGAATTCACACATGACAGACACGATATCCCAATGAACTGTAGAGCTAAGAATAATCATCAACATTGGATTCTAAACGTTTGCCAACAAAAAGACATAATCAAAATATTAAAAATAATTACCACGGTTACCATATAGGAAGATATGTCACCATGTTACAATGGCCTCTGTATAGGGACTGATGTCACAGTGGTTGTTCGGAAGAAGTGATGTTATCATGCACTGTTCGTACGTAGACAACAATTATGTCTCGGATTCATCTTTGGTTACAGCTGAATAATTCTTTTATAGCGGGCGCAAACAAGATTCGTAAGTGGAATTGACAAACTCCAAGGCCCTATCACATTTTCTAATGTTATGAAAACAATTTGGTACATTTTCTGACAATCTCGCTCCTCCTGGCACCACTTGATTTTAAACTATGTTATTTGTATCTAGGCACATACTATAACTAAGTTGTTGTCTGTTTTTATTTATAGTAAATCTATGGCACGGAATATACACAAAAAACGTTTTGCTTGTTTACATATCATATCATTATTATATTAAAATATATTGTGCCTAATAGGCGTCATATTAATGATGTTACATTTGTTAACATATTTGCATATGCATTGTTTCCCTGCTCAAATATTTTCTTTTATGATGAACTTCAACAAAAGTTTCATGTCAACATAATTTTATCGTCATTTGGTAATTGGTTAACTAGTCTAAAACAACACATAGTATCCAGGCGACTGACTGTATTTTAAAAGTTTACTGTGAACAAGAACTCATTCAAAAATAAAATGAAAGCTTTTCAGCGACCCTCGCCTCGCAAGCCCGAGTTTAAAAGACATCGATTTTTTAGTGGGATTTAAACATTGATGAGTTTAAAGAGGGTAGCATCATCAGAATAACTATTATGTACCAAATGACTTTGCATTCATAACAAGTATTGTAAATGTTTTGAGACCATGTCAGATGATTAGCATAGCTATACATGTAGAGTGATTTTATAAGTGACTCACCATCAGTTCTAAAGTACCTCCTAATTCTACTTCATCGACAGTTGACTTATACCCCACCATCTCTGCAATCTGTGATGGATCAAGTACAGCGGGATTATACTTCACTTCAGCCTTACCAGTCATGAATGATATGTGTACTGACTCAATTCCTGTCAAAAAATAACAAATAAAATGCTTAAAACAAATCTAATTGCAGTACAAAATCTTACACCTGATGACCAGACCATTGAGTGAGGCATTTGTTTTTTCATTATTTGTTTGAAATATTTAATGCATTATTAATGGTATATTCCTAACATTTTATGTAAAAAGATTGCTGCTATTAGCGGGTCAAACATGTAGCTTATAGAGCAAACATAGATAAAAGAAAACAGTCAAGTGTAAAACTGGTGAAAACTGCATAGTGATTTCAATTTAAACATATTTCATAACCATACAATTCTAGAATAAATTTGCAATATAATTATTGCAATAATATCGAACATTTATTTGTACTAAACTGTGTGTCACCAGTGTACAGTACTGTCGCATACGACTTATTTACCACTTCCGTGTCACTGAGAATGTTCTAGAACCGTACTGTGTCTGGGTGGAATATTCTATATTTTTTAGAAATGGTTGAATAGGTAATAGAACACTGTAGGAGGCAATAGAAGGTAATGGAACATTCTAGAAATTTGTAGTAAGTTCCAGACTCATTATGTATGCTGATGTAATGGTCTATTTATAGACAGTGGAGGTATATATAGGGGAGTTGTTCAGCACTGAGTTCAGATCGGAGATCTCGTTGAATTGTATTGGAGTTTAAGTATCTAGTTATTGGAGTTTTACCGCGTTATTGTACTTGATGTTTGCAGAGTATAATAATACCAGTACCAGTTGAAACTCATCTGTTGGCTCCGTGTTCGTATGTTATCATCACCGCCAGGGAAGTCTTTCTGTTACTTTTGCCATTTTGGTATTTGAACCATCACACCTGTACTATACCAACTACGGTAATATTACGTCGCGTGTGACAAGTACAATATCAGTACATATGCGAGATATGACTGTCCATTTACTAAAAAGTCAATGTAATTCTAGTATCAACAAATGTTGGTGTGATCACAGGGAGACACTATTTCTTACACTAGATACCAGCCGATACCCCCCCCCCCGCTCATAGAGACTGTGTATTACAGTTGATTATAGTTCCTGGGCTCCCTGTGGTGTGATGATAAATATATACTTTTTTGACAAAATGTATTCTGGGTATTTATATACAATTTGTGGGATTTCAAAATAAGAATGACCAGACGTTTTTTTTTAATACTAAATACATGAAATAATTTGGACGGTCGATAATGCAATTACACGTGTATGTTTCATTATATATTTCTCAGTGGTATTTAGACACGATCATTTCTATAGGTTTATTGAATTCTCCGATTATTATGTTAAATATATGATTGCTAATACTGTACTCCACACAAAAAAGTTCGCTGATTCTGCTTTAAATTTTTTGTATTTCGGCATTTCCATGATGTATAGTATCCTCGGAAGGAAAAGATGTATAATAATAAAGTTGTTACGTTAATACTTTGGGGTATTCTCGTAATAACCTCATATACATAGCAGGTCGTCCTAGTATTATTACCTTCACGCTTCATTAACTCCTTCTCATGTCTAAGCACAACACTTGCACAAGTCGGAACTTCAATACTCAAAGCACATATTTCCAATTCCACCTGGTCTACAAAAATATCCATATATCTATTCGATGCTATACCCACGCCATTCATGTTTTTTATGCAAGCTAGCCACCTTGGACATATACCTGCTGTAAATGAGATCTGAACAATTCTTCGGCGAAAAAAATCCTCCATTAGTAAATACAGTACTGTTGCATTGCACATTCCCGCGGTTACGCTTGTGGTTTTAAACACTCACCATATTTCTTTCTTGGAGGCATATTTAATTTGTTAGGACTATTTTATTTGGGATCAGCACCCCGAATATTGTCAACAGGAACCAGAAGCAGAAGGAAAGAGCAAACAAGGAGCAATTAGAAAGGGAATGATCGAGTTAGTGATTGAGGAGTTCGTATGAGTATGTACACCAGGACTATTCCTAAAGAAATGTATACTACAGAATGCCTAAAACTTGGTATTACAAAACCAATTAAGCATGTGACGTATGCCTGCACTAACAGTCGAGATACATAGAACGAGTTAAACCAGCGATTAAATGTTGCGCAATACAAGTCTTATACGTGATTTCATTGGGGGTACGTAATTTTGCCGTTAATTGTAAGAGTAAGAGTAAGAGTAAGACAGAGTAAATTGGCCACAGCGTGTGATAGGGGCACAGCGAATCATAATAGGTGTAACTGTAATAATACAATACCATATTGCAGGAATACGGTAAAGAAACGCACGTGTTTCAAGAAACTTTTCGCAAATTCTACAACATGTTTAACATGAATGAAAGTATAATGGTATACTGTGTATATTTCCTCTATTATGTGTCAGCAAAGCCGTGCATATGAACAGTGGAACTAATCCAGTGTAGTACTATACAATTAGCTTCTAGTTTGTATTATATATTATGGAATTTAGAATGTAATAGCAAGAGTACAGCACTGAATTAGGTTCGGTACACATAGGAAAGTAAGCAATGCAACTATAACATCTTAACATTTGAGACATTGTCAATCAGAACTTCAAGTAATACAGTCAGATTATATGTGCATACAATCAGAACAAGCAAACAGTTATATATTTCTATGCTAGAAAATAGGCCATTTCAGATTACCCGGGGAAATATTACACACTATTATACTAATTGGGAATTGTGTTTTAAAGACAATCAGTTTCTAATGTATTGCCCATGTTTTTCACCTACCTTCCATCCGAGCATCATACCCCATGCTATGTATCAACTCTTGTAAGTCTTGGTGGCTGACCTGATCTGGAAAATACTCAATTTGTGCTCTTTTCTTTTTCAGGGAGACATCAGCCGATCTGACGCCATCTTGTTTTGTGAGTTGTCTCTGAATTGCAGCCACACACGACAGACACATAATTCCATGAACATAAATGTTAGCCGTTTTAGGTGGTAGCATACGATTGTATTGCATTGGGCGATTGTACATGATACGTGGTTTATCCATGACAACCAACGAGTCATATCTAATTCCAGCAATAGAATCTTGGAGAAATTTAGTTGTTGTGTAATCTGAACGATAGATGACATGTATTTGGTTTTCATTTAGAAATGCGCTGACTTCTTTCACGCCAGGCTGTCCTGTCAACGTACTCTTGATGGCTTCGGCATGCAACACGCTTTTCATACCCCGTACTCTGATGACAGCAACACTGTCTAAGTGGGACATGTCTTCAACATCGAACTGGCGATACGATTACGAAAATGAACGAACATTACAATAAATAATTCATTAAAAATGACACAGTCTTTGTTGGTAATATTTGAAAGTGGTTTCTTGTGAGCTAAACAGCAAGGCTATGACTGACACTCATATGACAGACATGCTGGAGCCAGATTATTTGTGCATTCCTGGGTATTTGTGTTAAATGAGATCTGCCCAGGGTGACGTGACACTGAAACATCATAAAAATAAAATGGCGACCAGTTGGCCATTTTAAATCCGATTTGGACCCATTATATCCGATGGACAAAGTGCGAATGCAACATGTCCATGCATGACCTAGAGCCGGTTCCAGAATTGCAGAATTAGGATGACTTGCCATAAGTCATCACTTATGGCAAGAGGAATAATAAAATAATAAAAATGTCCTAAAACTCTGGCAATGCTCTTCCAAACACGATAATCAATGAAACGATCAAAAGTTAACCACAAAATTACAGTTACACAAAAGTGTTGCCCTATCACTTTGGCGGAAAAAGAGTTTAAAAATTGATCTAAAATACTTAAATGCATAATTTGTATATTATTTAAATAAATAAATAAATATTTCAGTATGAAGGTGTTTCTGGTTTACATTTCCTAGGATTTGTTTGTATAGAGTAATTTATAACATTGGTACCATTATGTTGTTTGGCTCAGCATTAAGGCATTGGTGAAAAATATACATGCACCTTTTTAACCATTGGTTTTACATTAATTAAAATAAATGTTAGAAGAAACACTCAACTTTGTACATTTCACACTAAGTAGAAGAATGCAACTGATGGTGTCAATGAAGGTAACTGCATATAGAAAATTATGAAACAAATCACATAAAAAATGAAACTAGTTTTATTTCTAATCAATGAAACATAAATATGGTTTGACATTAGATGGTTGAACTGCTAGAGGAAGAATAAATGATTGATTCGTCAAACTTCAGGCGGCCCAATTAATTGATAGATTATTATACAATAATTTAATTAGGACAATTCATCACTTAGCACGAGAGACTGATAATTACGATTGAGTGACGACGATTCAAGGAAGCCATAAGGCACATTTTAAATTATTTTCGCATAAACGAGCATTTATATTGTTTACATACACAAGGTATGCAACACAATTCATCCATTACATTAACAGTCGATCCAGTTTGAGTATGGGGTTCAAAATCGTTTTTGTTTTTACTGTATGCCTAGGAAAATAATGAAACACTTTTCTCTTACGAAATCCGTTTTCTGACTGAAAGCTATTGGGGGCAGTAATGCAAGGACATTTCGCCTTCGTAAGATGTTACTATTCGGGCACCTACGCTCTTTATAAACCTTTACTTTGGGGGGGGGGATTGTGTATAATCAGTTTTCCGGCAAACGCCGTTGTTAGAATGGAAAGTAAATTGTATGTTCTCATTCAGCCTCATTAGAAATTCCGCTATAATATTTATTGTAAAGAGATGCTATGAGTAGAAAAATCAGGTAGAATATTGGGAAATATTTTATTTGAATAGTAAACTATCGTACAAGTAAGCAGTCAATGAATAACGACTTTGAACCCTGACACAGTTTGGGTACATGTCATGTGTTAATGGTTTCGTCTTCATATGTTGCTCATGATCTTTATAGTCGTTTTCTCCGGGATTGTCAACAGAGGCTATTATTTTATGGTTGAAACTCTGCATAATAATTACCTAATTTACATAAATTAGCTTATATTCATTGTTCCACAGATATCTCATCTACAATCATATTTCAATAAAACTTCGTATATTGAAGCCCTGATTAGTTATGTTCCCTATTTGTATAACATATACAATTCAAAGATGTTAACTATAACTCTCTTCGGAGATGTGAATTTCTTATTCAGACAAGGCTTAGATAGGTTTCTATGTGTATTCATTGAGGGACCAATTATAGCATTTGAACCTGAAATCTAGTTAGCTATGTAAAAATGTTTGTTTTAATTGGTATAGTTTTCATATCATGGATATGATATGTGTTTATATACATATATTATCTCATATACTATATCTTATTATTTCATTAATATAGATTTCATTAAATGTAATTGAGTTGAAGATGTGGGTTTCGTCGTTCCGTCCCCCCTACTCCTGGTTTAGTGCATATATTGATAAATCAAACGTATTTTCCTGTGTCGAGCTTCAATATTTACATTCCCCGTACACATGTCAAGAATTGGTGGTGGCTCAGTGAATGATACACATGCATGATTTTGTATAGTCTTATTGTAATTTATATGTCGATCTGTTATTGAGGTTTAAAAAGTTGATGAAATTATTGAAAAAGTTGTGAGAATTTTCCGATTAATACAAGACGCTTAATGATAGAAATGTGTTCGGGAATGCATGAATATCATTGTTTACTTTTTCTGTCCAATATTACTTTAAAAAAGTCATTCAAGTTTTGAACATAGAAACTAATAAATATGGACTAGTTAGTGAATGAGGACTTTGGCTGAAAATATAGCCTGCCAGACTGAAAAACCAGGATTACATCATAACAATGGACAGGGGGCAAAGAATAAAAAAAATTTAATATAATAATGTGTCTATATCGACATTTTTTAAGCGTCTGTGAAGTTTTCTCTGTCTGGTTGAAAATGAGTCATTCTTCTCCCCTTTTTACTTTGGGCCTGGAAATCAAATAACTCCAGTTATAGGCTGTTTTCTTGAAATAAATAAGAATGATAGTTTGTTATAGTTTTTAATATTTTTTATGTTGATTCCTCGATTATAATATAAAGCTAGATTCAATTGAAAGTTTGCACACAATTTCTATACTTACTATAGTTATTTTGTGGTTTGATTTTTTTCTAAAAACGCATTCAGTAAATGTGACAGAATTTCGTATCAGGATTATATATACTGGGTTAAGGGAGGCGTCATTTTAACAACAGTCTCTCAGAAATGGTTTGTGTGATTTCGTTCAAACTGAATTGGGACTGTACATTACTCTGTTCAGTGATTCAAACAAATATGCTCTGCCAATTACAGTACTGATCAAAGCATCAAAGCATCCACACACCTGGATTGCTGCTAGTGCTGGAATTTAGGTTTCAATGCAGAATAGGAACTGTGCATTGTCCATGCCTGTGTTTTAGTATGCAACAAGAGATAAAAGTATGGAACACGTAAAATGATTTCAATAACCCATTATATTTTGTCCTATAAGCACCATGCTTATGTGAGGTTATTTTGGGATACAACATTCACTGACCCTTGCCATTCTGAATGAGTGCACTCGATATCTACTGACCCATGATGCCAGTGTCAATTCAGATCATTATGTCACACATTTATTGTTTAACGAAAAAAAATATCAATCTACGACTGGTATGGCCATAAAGCATGTCAAGTGTGTGCGATACATTATAATTAAATATGTCGTTCTAAAAATAGGCGAACAGCAAAGAAACGAGAAAGTTGCAACAAGAATCAACAAATTTATGATCTATATTGCTCATGAAATCATGGATATATATAATTTTTAACTGGTTGGAATGTATCAAAAATAACCACTTTCACTCAGTACTTTGACAGTTATATTTATGTTCAATAAAAAGGTTGGTTTCTGGTTATTGTTGCTATGGGCATTGGTTGGTTGCTAGGAAAATATCTGCCTCCAACTTTTGCCTTTATCTACCTGGTAGCATATCTACATTAACAATAGTTTCCTTTTAATCATGATATTATTTTTTGAAGGACACCACTCAACACATTTTCACCATCTTAAGCGGTCTTACGTACGTCAAGTATTTAAACACTTCTGATATCATTGTCTTAGAACTAAAAAAATAATATGAAACACCTGGAAGTTTTTTGTTTAAATAAATACTGTCTTATTGTGTGGAAGTTTAAATGATCAAAGGGGTATGATGTTGTGCTGTACCTTTGGGAGAAAAGCTTTATAAATTTATGTTCTCTTAGGTAAACTTTAATTGTATGGTGCAAATGCACGTAAACCAGTGAGAGTCCAATGAGGAAGTGAACAGAATATCTGCCAGCAGAAAACGCGTAGACAACTTGAACTACTGAATACTAAGTTTATACATTCAACAAGACGGTTACCTGAAGCTTGTCGATGGAAAAGTATACCAGGTCATTTAAAAAAAATATAAACCGCACAACAGTGAAACGGTCGTCACCAAAAAGCAAACTCGACGAAGAAAACAAATACACTTACCAATAGAGACATGTCACTTGATTTATAATACAAAATTCAAATCTCTATGCAACTGTCTGTGCGTTCTTAGTCTAATTACAGATGATTGGGTAACATTGTTCTTGAATGGAGTGTTCACGATGCAAATAAACACTGGGAAAAAATCAACCGTCTATGAAGACTCGGTGACGTCATCTAATTGAAATGCAAATTCATTTACCCCATAAATTCACTCGACTGTTCGCGTTACACCTATTATACACATTTCAATTAAAACAGTGAAGCAATAGTCACAAGAAAGCAAACTCGACGAAGACATGCAAACTTGAGGTTATTGTTTGAACTCAAAATGCAAGCGTCAGTGCCAATTCAAATATACGACATGCGAAGTTGTAATAAAATGGTTACCTGAATTTTACACAATGGAATGTCTCTATAGTACAGACTTTATAACATATTACATGGTACTATTATTGAATAGAGCCAATATATTTCAACCCAATTACTATTCATAAAACCGATTATCTGACACTGGGTAAGATTGGGCATGATGTGGAATAGTTTTGAATCAAGTTTGTGAATTATATTTTTCCAAACCATTACATTATTACCGAATTTGTAATTTACTCTCACGAAGAGTGTACACGTATACAACGTAATGCAAAAGTGTGTTATTTAATTTCAATAGATAGCTTTTATTTTGCTTAGTCATAAACATGATTAAATTGTAAACTAAGCCAAACAATATAGCTCTATTTCCGCCTGTCGATTATTTTCTTGTTGCTC